GCCACCAAATACAATTCAACACTATCTGCTTAATACAACATAAGCCTGAAATATAAAATAATAAGGATAGGGAGGAGAGGCAGGGCTGCGAACGCCGTGCAACTACCTTATTATCTCCAATGAACCTGCCACCGAGCTCAGAAATAGTTGGATCTGCAGACAAGGTGCAGGGAGTAATGTGAGTACTCCAACCCAGTAAGTAATAAAAGTTAATAATGACTGAGCAATAAGAAATCATGTAAACCACGTCATAGCACCACAGTGGGCATAGTATGTTTCCAAAATAGGATACAAATCAAATCATCTCGTTAAAACTCCAATTTCAATACAAATCCTTTGAAAAAAATATCTTTCTAACAATTCAGTAGAGGTTCAGCGTAGTTCATAGTGAAAGTGATAAAAATCATAATCGGCCTCTCGGGCAAAACGTAGTTCGTATACAACCCCTCGGGCAAAACATAAAGCATATACATCTCAAAACAGGAAAAATGCCAAAGGAAATAACAAAGCCAAATCAGTGATTAAATTCCGAACATCTCGTAAAAACTCCAGTTTCAATGAAAATTGTTCAAAACATTTGTTTAACATTTTCTATAGAGGCTCGGTATAAAGATGAGTGAAATCGGTAATTTAATTCAACATATTCAATATAGACTCACCTTAAGGAGAAGTCAAATCAGTAATTTCATAAAAACAAGCCCCTCGGGTAAAACATCACTCATATATATATCCCCTCGGGCAAGCCTCTCAGTCACTCGAGACTCAATTCTCATCAATCAGCGCTCACACTCAGCACTCACGTTCAATAGGTACCATATAATAACCGCTGCAGCGTGCAGCCCGATCCATATATGTATTCGACTGTGCTCACTAGGGGTGTGCAGACTCCGGAGGGGCTCCTACAGCCCAAGCGCTATATCGCTGCGGTGTGCAGCCCGATCCATATATATNTGGTCCCTCTCAGTCATCAGCCTCTCAAGCCACTCGGGCTATCAGTGGAACAGGGTGCTCAGCCCAAACAACATTTATGTATTTAAAACAGAGTATTAAAACTGAATCAAAAGTAAACAGGTAAAAATCATGACTGAGGATATGCTTTCAAATCAAACAGTGCGAGGAAACAGTAGTAAAAAGCCCCCGAGGGCCAAACGGTTGGCACAAGGCCCAGATATAGCATTCAGCCCAAAACATAGTAATATTTTCCAGAACACAATGATATCAAACAAATTTCAATCATAAACGCGACTTAACAGCCGCACGGGATGGACCAAGTCACAATCCCCAACAGTGCACGACCCCACGCTCGTCATCTAGCGTGTGTGTCACCTCAAAGTAGCACAACAATGTGAAATCCGGGATTTCATACCCTCAGGACAACATTTACAATCATTACTTACCTCTATCTGGTCCAAACTCTAGCCCGTGGTGCCTTTGCCTCTTGTCTCGGCCTGAACTCGCGTCGAATCTAACCAAAATCAAAATCATGACGTCAAAATATTCTAAGGGAACGAAGCCCATGCGTAAACAATCAAATTACAACACAAATCCCGAAATTAACCAAACCCGGCCCCCGGGACCACGTCTCGGAATCCAATAAAAATCACATCAATAGAATCCTTATCCTCCCACGAGTCTATACATATCAAGAACATCAAAATCGGACCCCAAACAGCCCCTCAAATCCCTAATCAAAGTCTCAAGTTCCAAGCCCTAAATTCCCAATTCTTTCTACAATTTTCCCACAATTTCATGATTAAAAAATGGAATAATCACCATATACACAAGATACAAAGCCCAGGTAGCTTACCTCTCTGAAACCACTTGTTTCCTCTTGAAATCACATCTTGGAGCTCCAAAATTGACCAAAAATGGTGGAAGAATAACCAAAATTCGCGAAGGAATTCTTATCTAGTTTCTGCCCAGGGATTCCGCACCTGTGATGCCATAAGCGCATCTGCGCTTCCGCTTCTGCGGGTTTCACTTGCCTCACCAGGTTTCGCATCTGCGGCCGCTTCACCGCTTCTGCGGCATCGCAGATGCGGTTTTCCAAGCCGCACCTGCGCTCCTACACGCACCTGCACCTCTCTTCCGCTCCTGCGGAGCTCGCACCTGCGGTCCCCAATCCGCAGGTGCGGATATGACAGAAGCAGCAATACCAGCCGCAATTTCCCAAGTTCAAATTATCTGAAATCACCCCGAGGCCCTTGGGACCTAAACCAAAAGCACGAACTAGCCTTATACCAATATCCAAACTTATACAAATCTTCATAACACCTCAAACAACATCGAATCAACCAAATCACATCTGATTCAAGCCTAAGGTTCCAAAATCTTCCGAATTACGCTTTTTAAAAAAGTCTATCAAACCACGTCCGAATGACCTGAAATTTTGCACAACGGCACAAATGACACAACGGACCTACTCAAATTTCCGGAATTCCATTCCGACCCTGACATCAAAATTTCCACTACCGACCGGAAAATGCCAAATTTTCAATTTCGCCAATTCAGCCTAATTCTACCACGGACCTCCAAAATACATTCCGGACGCGCTCCCAAGTCCAAAATCACCTAACGGAGCTAACCAAATGATAAAAATCCAAATCCGGGATCAAATGCTAAAAAGTCAAAACTTGGTCAAACCTTTCAAATTTAAAGCTTCAAAGTGAGAATTGTTCTTCCAAATCCATTCCGATTATCCTGAAACCCAAAACCGACGATTTACATAAGTCATAATACAGCACACGGGGCTAGTCATGCCCGAGGACTGGCGAACGAAATGCAAAAGCTCAAAACGACCGATCGGGTCGTTACAATAAAGAACCCAATAATTGAAATAAGACCCTACGTAGCCTTTTTGCTGAACAAGGATGATATGACGGATTGGGCGTATTTTATGTTTGGGAATTGTTTTAAGTTATTGGGTAGGTTTGGATCGAGTAGTGGGTTAGTTCTAAATGAATCGGGTAATGAAAGGGGACGAGTTATTTTGCTTGTGTTGACACGTGGAGGGCCGCCCAAATGAGGAACATTTCTAAATAATAGTATGACGGTAGGGATTGAGGTGGCCAAATTATAATGCATCACTTACCAAGTATATATATAGAGAGAGAACACCAAACATATTGTCAATCTGCCTTGAAAATCCAACTTAAATCATACTTGAGAAAAGACTTCTTTCAAGAAAACATAAATTGGAGAACTAAATTTGAAGTTCTTAAGTATCTGGAATCTATCCTAAAAAGTAGATTAATAAACATTAGGAATGAATGAGTACATTCATTTTGCAATAGAGATAAATTAACTACATCACCAATCTAATAAAAATAGAATTCTGTCATCCTTCTCAAGCCTCCTTCTTGCCAGCTCCCCACTTCTGAGTTTCTCAGGCTTCCAGCTCAACTTTATCCAATATCACGACCCAATTTATCCTCCGTAAAATATCGTGACGGTATTTAGTCTCTACGACTAGGTAAGCCTAAATAATTACGGAAATAATAGGAACAGAAGTAAAACTCACAACTAACTGCAACAATAATAACATAACTGATAACCATGCCGCTCGGCATGTACATAACCAACTCCTCAAGCAGTCTTCCCAAAATCCGAAACATCATGAGTCACGAAATACAGAAGGAAAACTAGTATCTCTATACACCAAAGTCTAACAAATGAAGTACAGAAGATAATGGACATAAGGGAGAATAAAGGGGGGACTCTGAGGTCTGCGGACGTGGCAGATATACCTTGAAGTCTCCAACTGTCGCTGCTCAATGATGACGTGGCTGGTAAGAAGTACCTGGATCTGCAATCGAAAACATGTGCAGAAGAGTATCATGAGTACACCACAACGGTACCCATTAAGGGCCAAGCCTAACCTCGGTCGAGTAGTGACGAGGTCAGGTCAGGGCCCTACTGGTATATATATAAGTAAAGTAGGCATGCTTGCAGTTCAAGTATTCAGCTCAACAGTAAATAAATACAAATCTGAACAATGTGAAGTATAAAGCTCAGCAAATTTCTACATCCCAATGTACAGAAAGCATGAAAATGTACCATGTACCTCCACTCTCAAGTGCTCAACCACTCGATATTGTATATGGCCATCCGGTCCAGGGAAGATCCATCCTAGAATATATACACATCACTGACAACAGTCCCCAGTACCGAGGAAGGACATTCCAGCCCTATGAAGAAGATCCATCTCCAGGTATAAGTACTTCGGACAAGACCCATGTCCAGGGAACATCTATCCCTCAATAATATCAACTGCGCTCACTAGGGGTGTGTAGACTCTGGAGGGGCTCCTTTCAGCCCAAGTGCTATAACAAGCCAACGAAGGCATAATCAATAATCTGTTGCGGCGTGCAGCCCGATCCTATAACTGTCACTTATAACCNTATGTATATATATATATATATATATATATATATATATATATATATATATATATATATATATATATATATATATATATATATATATATATATATAATAAGACAGGACAATATATCGCAGTATAATAAAGACTAAAATTTAATAAGGAAATCACAGAAACATAATAGTAGAGTGAACAGAAATAACAACAGGGGATCTCCCGAGATACCGTCTCGCAGTCCCAAAAGTAAATATGTAGGGGGATCTCCTGGGATACCGTCCCGTAGTCCCAAAGTGAATATTGTAATAACCTGATTTTTTTATATAATTATTAAATTTTGAGACTAGAAAATTAATTTACTTTGTCGCTATTGAGAAAGTACTAAGCTAGTAGAAAATAATCTATTATAATATATAAGATAATGTACTAGATAAATAGTTAGTGCCTAATTTATCATTACATGTGTTAATTGGGTAATAAAATAAATGAGAAAATAAGTAATATTGAAAAAGTGGACTAGGCCCGTATTATTTTCCTAATGGACCACGTAATGGAGATTTAGGTTAAAGAGAAACAATAATAAGGTTTAGGTCTTTAGCTAATACGCCGTTCAATTACAATTGTAAAGAAGAGGCAATAGACGGGTCTTTGATGGATTTGACATTAACGAGAATCAAGAGCAAGAAGTTGACAGTTCTTCAACTCAAAATTTAGTACTCAGGTACATTATATATTTCATCTCAATAAATGTATTCCTTGAACTTGCTAAGGAAAGAATTATTTATTATATTTATGGTAGTATTAATAATTGAATTGTGGAATAGTTGAGCATGTCAGACATACTCATGAGGCCTTAGGAATGAATATTTTATTTAAAAAAAGAAATCTTTACCTTTTAATACGGACAAAATCAGTTAAGATTGTAACTTTTTGGATCTTAATATTAGAACATTGCATATAAAGGAAATTAATTATGGATCTTTACACACATGTAGAATGACGGGGTTATGATAATATTTATTGGTAATAATTATACAATGATTGAAAACATAATGAATAGTAATAAGTTTAAAAACCAGGTGTAAGGTTGGATCTATTTGGACGTTATCATTAAACCCACTGTTTCGAATTCTTATTATTAATTATAGAAAGATTTTGATTGCATTCCATGGTTGTGATAGTTTAGTCTCGGATATTGATATATATTATTATTAAGGTGTGAAAGAAAATATAAAGATATAACTCTAAGCTTGAAGGCTAAGGATATTGAGAGTTGACCTGACTAGTCAAATTGACACTATTAATCAATATTTTTGCGTAGATTGAGGCCATTGGAGGCCGTTTGGTTGGTGTTCTAGACGTTGCAAGGTTGGGGAACTTTCCGTTAACGAGGTAAGTGAGACTTTAAGCTTTGATGCTTGCTTTTTAAAACCCGTTTTAAAAATATGTTTTGTCTGCCTGGTCCATGTGTTGGGACGAGCATGCACTTGGTAGAATCGGTGGTCTTTCACCAGCCACAAATATATATTATTTTGTAAAAAGCTTAAATTGTTTAATAAGTGATTTGTATTGTAGTGTGATGTGGCGCAGCCTCGTGCTATAGCGTTGGGGCGTTAGAAATTATTTCTTCGCTGCCGTAATATATTTGGGGCATTGTGTATGCCGCCGTTATAGATTTGGGGCATTGTGTATGCCGCCGTTATGTATTTAGGGCATTGTGTATGCTGCCGTTATAGATTTGGGCCATTGTGTATGATGCCGTTATAGATTTGGGGCATTGTATATGTTGTCGTGGACTCGTTGGGGTATTTGGTTAATTTCCTGCACTGCCGTTAATGACAAGTCCTTAGAATAGATTGTGTTGAGATATATATAGTGTTGTTGTTGAATAATTGTTTTTACCTTATAGGGTAATTATAGGGTGAAAGAATTTCTGTGCATATTATTTCTGTGTTTGTATTTTCTGACACTTGTTCCAGAGGTATTCAGAGTGGCAGGTCGAGGATCTTACTAGGTTACATTTACATATAACTCACTCCTTACCTGCATGTCTATGCAGATACTGTTGCTTAGAACGAAGCTAGTGGCTAAGGAGTTCGCTAGAGTTGATTCAGTTATTGAGGTGAGCTGCTGCATTGTTCGTGGAGGCTGCGAAAAGAGTCTTAATTATTTATTCGTATGATGTATTTTGTAATTCTCTTAGATGCTCTATGGTCTAGTGTGGGATTTGGGCTAGAATTACATTGTAATATTTAAGATATCAATTGTTCGTAATGGTTATCAGATTATTTGGATACTTATTTAGTTAATCAAATATTGCAAATTAATGGCTAAGGTATGGTTCACCTGGCGGGTGGTATTAGTTGGGTGCCAGTCACGTCTAAGGGGTAGTTTGGGACGTGACAAATATGCAGGGGGATCTCCTGAAATACCGTTCCGTAGTCCCAAAAGTAAATGTGCAGGGGATCTCCCGGGATACCGTCCCGTATTTCCAAAGTAAATATGTAGGGGCGAATCTACGGGAATACCGTTCCGTAGTCCTAAAATAAATACGCAGCTCAAACAATGGACATAACAGCTCTAATATGAAACCCTACCGTTTAGACTAAGTACAAGTCAAGAAGAAGCAGGAAATCCACTAAGCATGCTACACAGTGTTCAGATAAGCATTTAAGACACGTAGACATGCTATTCTAAGCTAAACAGGATAACTACACATGCTAGTATAACTCAATTAAAGTGAAACAGATTATTACTCAATGAAAAATGGGGTTTTACAATAAATAGCCCGTGTACGCACTCGTCACCTCACGTACACGGCGCTCACATATAACAACAGAATCATATCCTAAGGGGAGTTCCCTCACACAAGGTTAGGCAAGCCACTTACTTCGAACCAAGCTCAATCAATTAGTAACAATGCCTTTTTCACGAATATCCGACTCCGAATGGCCCAAAACTAGCCAAAAGCGATTATATATCATAAATACAACTATAATAGACTAATCTAATTAATGAAATCAAGACTTTAATAAGAAACTCAAATTTGCCCTAAAACGTCTCCCCGGGCCCACGTCTCAGAATCGGGTAAAAGCACAAAATATGAACACCCATTCACTCACGAGTTCACTCGTACCAAAATTATTCAAATACGATATCTAAATCCCAATCAAAACCAAAAATCTTAGTTGAAGAACTTCTGCCATTTCCCCCCAAATTTCCCTAATTAAATGATGAAATCAACTATAGATTAGTGGAATATAAGCATAAAGGAGTTAAGAATCGTTATCCAAAAGCATTCTCTGAAAATCCCTCAAATAATCACCCAATACAAGCTCTCAAAGTCCCAAAATTAAAAATGGGATAAAACCCTCGAAACCCTTCTTTTTTGCCTAACGATCTTCGCTACTGCGGGCTTCCAGTCGCACCTGCGACGCCGCACCTGCGGAATACCCATCGCAGGTGCGGATTCCACTTAAGGTCCAAAATCCGCTTCAGTGACAAAAGGGTCGCACCTGCGCACCCGCTCCTGTGGAATCCTTTCCGCATCTACGATCCTCCAACTCCAGGCCACTCCGCTTCTGCGCTCCACCTTCCGCAAAAGCGACTCCGCTTCTGCGGCCAAAATCTCAGACCTGCGACCTCAGACCTCTTCCTTCCAAACTGCACCTGCGCCCTTTGGCTCGCTTCTGCGAGCTCGCACCTACGGTCAATCTTGCGCAGGTGTGATTACACCAGGTGCAACAACTTCAGCCATTGTCCCAAAACTCAATTTGATCCGTTAACCATCCGAAATTCACCCAAAACCCCCCGGACCTCAACCAAAAGCACCAACATGTCCTAAAGCGCCATACAAACTTTCTCGATCCCTCAAATCACATCAAACAATGCTAAAATCACGAATCACCCTCCAATTCAAACTTAATGAACTTGAAACTTCAAATTTCTACGACCAATGCCGAAACCTATCAAACCACGCCCGAATGACCTCAAATTTTGCGCACAAGTCATAAATGACACCACGAACCTACTCCAACTTTCGAAAATCCAATCCGACCCCAATATCAAAAAGTCCACTACTAGTCAAAATATCCAAAAATTCGACTTTCGCCATTTCAAACTTAAATCAGCTACAGACCTCCAAATCACAATCTGGACATGCCCCTAAGTCCAAAATCACCTAACGAAGCTAGCGGAACCGGAGAAACTCCATTCCGGAGTCGTCTTCACACAGTTCCAACTACGATCAAAATCCTAAGGCTTATGCTTCCGTTTTAGGGACTAAGTGTCCCAAAATACTCCGAAACCAAAAACAAAACCTCCCGGCAAGTCACATAGGTAGAAAAAGATATGGGGGAAGTAGTTAATAAGGGATCGGGGCTATTACTCTCAATATTACTCTCAAAACGACCGGCCGGGTCGTTACATTCTCCCCCTCTTAAAACAATCGTTCGTCCTCGAACGAGCACAGAGACATACCTGAAATGGTGAAAAGATGAGGATAACGGCTGCGCATATCCTGCTCGGTCTCCCAAGTCACCTCCTCGACGCTGACACCTCCACTGAACCTTCACTGAAGCAATGTTCTTTGACCTCAGCTTTCAAACATGCTTGTCCAAAATAGCCACTGGCTTCTCAACATAAGATAGATCCTTGTCCAACTAGATTGAGCTGAAATCCAGCACGTGAGATGGATCATCGTGATACTTCCGGAGCATAAAAACATGGAATACTGGATGAACTCCTACTAGACTGAGAGGCAAGGCAAGCTCATAAGCAACCTCCCCAACTCGCCGCAACACCTCGAGTGGGCCAATATACCTTGGGCTCAGCTTGCCCTTTTTTCCGAACCTCATGACGCCTTTATAGGCGAAACTCGGAGCAAGACCCGCTCTCCAACCATGAATGCAACATCGCAAACCTTCCGATCCGCATAACTCTTCTATCTGGACTGGGCTGTGTGAAGTTTGTCCTGAATCACCTTAACCTTCTCCAAATCATCCTAAACCAAGTTTGTACCTGATGTTCTAAACGTTAATACCACACAAGAGGGGGGGGGGGGAGATTTGTGTGGTACCCAATTTTCGCTCTAGAAGAACCTGGTTCTTCTAGGTATACTTTCTACTACTGTTTGCGGAATTAAAGGTACATAAAATAAAGAACACAGAGATTTTTACGTGGAAAACACCTGGCTCAAAAGGTGAAAAAACCACGACCTACTACTCAGTAGGATTTTCCCAAACTTCCACTAAAATCACTGAGCCAAAACAGCATTTACAAAACTCTTGTAAACCTAAGGATTAAACTCTAATCCCGTTGTGGCAACCAGCCTCTAACTGCTGCGACAACTTCAAGTTAACTCTAACTTGAATATTCAAAATACCTATTACAATTGCTTCTAGATAAAGCTGAAAGGTACAATATGAAAACACCTACTACAATTGAACTAGAAATAAAGAAAGACACATAAAACTCTTTATAGAGTTGGTTCATCAATCTGGTTCATGTAGCTTCAGGTTTGGACACTTGAATCTTACACGTACTGCTTGCAAAAAGCCTTGCTATTTTGCTCTCAATTCATGTTTAACTTCTGCTTTTTTGTGCAACACCTGTAAAAGAGAACAATCACTGTTATTTAATGAGTTAGTAATTAGAGTTTGATTAAGACTCAATTGCTGATCTTCCATTGAAGTTGAGTCCTTGAATAACACAAACTCCAACCCTATCCTTTATCCGGATTGTGTTCACTTCTCATAAGGAGACTTTCACTCCTTATCCAATATGCAACCTTTTCGATCAGTTCAGGAGATATTGCTGCTTGATCACTGAAACTTATCTCCTTCACGTGCATCTCACATGTATAGGTTGATAAACACTGTGCCTCACATGATGGACCTGGTCCATGACTGGGTTCATTTGTCATTCTTCAAAACTTCACCTGAGCTTGGGCCAACAAATTCCCCCTTTTTGATGATGACAAACTCTTGTGCGTTGACTGATCAAAGAATCTGTAAGAACACAGCTTAACCATCGACACTTTACTTAGAAGTTTAACTTATCATCAAGGACCAAATTTAATTAGGTTATAAATATCACATTATTCAGAATAAAGAGTAAAGCGCAATATCTCTTCCCCTTTTTGGCATCATCAAAAAGTTGCATACACAATGTGAATCCCGAATTTTAATAAATACTCATGGCCACTGGGGCAACTGCATGTAACATGGTGCAATTATCAATAATCAACAAACATGTTTAAACTATTAAGATCAGAATCATTATAGAACAAGAGAAAACAGTTCTTGTCATTGATGATATGTTGTCATTAACAGTCCACAAAAAGAAAGAAAAACCATCAAAACATGAGCAAAACAAACAGAAAAATCCCTCATCCGGGTCACTGGGGTTCACTGGGGTTACTAGACTTGTTCAGAAGACAAGTGCTAGGAGACCTAAGGCTTGGAGGAACTAGAGGGTTGAGATTGGAGAAGGTTTAGCATATTCTGAAGCATTCCATCACTCTTCTCCTTTTCTTTTGCTAGCTCAGTTCTAAGGCCATCTCTCTCGATCTCCAATGCAACCACACGTGCCTTGAGCCTAGCAATTTCATCATCCTTAGTTCCACACTCCTGAACCAAGGCCCTAACCTTGTTGTTGATGGGTGTCTTCAGAGATGAACTAGGTTCAACTAGGTTGGCATTGACTGGATAGTCACAAGCTAGAAGAGTCTTGACACCAAAATGTTCCTTGCTTGATGCCATCTCCCATTTCTTCAAAGGCACATTCAGCCTGTCCAGAACAGTAGTCAATATGAACCCATATGGAGTGGCATGAGCCTTGGAGCCATTGATGACCCTGTCTAGTAATTTGACAATAAAAGCAGGCCAATCGATCTGCATTCCTCTCACAAGGCACTCCATAAGAACCAGGTCCATGTAGTTGGCAGTGTGCCTTCTCTCCTGTCTGAGCAGTAAACACTTGTTGACAAACTCAAACAAAACCTTGTGCTCAGGCCTCATCTCACTTTTCTGCACAAACCTGGCTTCAGGCACATCTTCAGCAGCTTTAGCATCACAGAAATTCCTAGTAATTTGAAGAGCAGTAGGGAGAGAATCCAGACATGGCCACCTTTGCCTTGTATAATCATCATACCCTTCACTAGGTATGTCCAGAATCTCACCCAGTTTGAGTGCATCAAACTCCACTTTTACTCCTTTTACCAGGCTAGTGACTACCCCATTCTTCACAGTGGCATTTTCCATAAACTCAATCAGTTCTTTCCTGGCCAGCCTTCCA